TATATATGGGTTCTTTAACAAAGATTTCAAACCGTTTGAATTGTTTCATACAATATAATTTTTCTGCTTTTGTTCGTAATTCATTCACGGAGTGTCTTTATATTTATACAACCTCCAGGTGATGGCTGGAGATGCCCTGGGGTTACAACTGATCTCCAGGCTAGAGATTGGTTCACCTAGAGAAAATGGCTGGCTTGGAAGCTGGACTCTATAGCATTAGACCCCACTGAAGCCTCCCCTGCAAACTCTGCCTCCTCAGGCTCTATCCATCCAAATCTCCAGGTATTTCCAAATCCAGGCCCCACCCTGCGTGCAGCAATAGCATTGCCAGCTCCGGGTTGGGAGATACCTCGAGATTGGGGGGTGGGTGGGTGAAGCCTAAGGAGGGTGGGGTTTGGGGAGGGACAGGACTTCAGTGGGTATACTACCACAGAGTCCCCCTTCCACAGTGGCAATTTTCTCCAGGTGAACTGCTCTCTGTGGCCGGGAGATTGGTTGTACAGCTAGAGATCTCCAGCTGCCGCTTGGAGGTCAGAAGCCCCGACACAGCAGCAATGCACGGGACAGCTTTATATTTATACAACCTCCAGGTGATGGCTGGAGATGCCCTGGGGTTACAACTGATCTCCAGGCTAGAGATTGGTTCACCTAGAGAAAATGGCTGGCTTGGAAGCTGGACTCTATAGCATTAGACCCCACTGAAGCCTCCCCTGCAAACTCTGCCTCCTCAGGCTCTATCCATCCAAATCTCCAGGTATTTCCAAATCCAGGCCCCACCCTGCGTGCAGCAATAGCATTGCCAGCTCCGGGTTGGGAGATACCTCGAGATTGGGGGGTGGGTGGGTGAAGCCTAAGGGACCTTCCACAGCCTGCAGTTCAGCGTCTTAACCACTTGAGCCACCGCAGCTCCAGCAGTAAGTTACGCACATGCATATCTGCTGCTTCAGTCATTTATAGAAATCTCAACATCCGAGACGCTCTTGGGGCCCCCCCCCGAGCCGCAGGCTACCAAGAGGGGGGACGCAGTAGCTGTTCCTGCAGCCTTCTCCTCCGAGCAAAGGCCCTCAAATTAGCTCACGTCTCCTTGTTAAACGCAGCTTCGTAACGCAGTCCGACAGGCGCGTGTTGGCCAGGTAATCTTGCAAAGGGACGTCGCCCGTAGGGATGCTCAAAGAGCCCAGCATTCCCAGAGGAACGGGGAACCGCCCCTCCACTCCCCCCCCTGCCCCGCCCGCCACCCCTGCAGATGCCGATGCTGGAGGGTCACGACGGGGACCTCCTGGGAAGATGCCCAGCAGGCACCCACGGGCAACAGCTTTGTGTTACAGGCCCGGATGAGTGATCCTTGCGGGAGCCGCCGCTGGCGGCTTTCGAGCACACACAGAAGGCAGTCAAAAGTCCACGGCGTGAACTTGGAATGACCCCAATTGGAGAGTCACTGGCGGGTTCACGGAGAGGGCAGCTACATTTTATTAAACAACTAATGCTCTTAACAGATAACTTTTGGGAGAAGTGGGGGGGGGGAAGAGGCAGCCACTTCTAATCTCCCTCGAAGGGTTCAGCGCAGGCTGCAACAGGATACGGTGGGAACTCCACGCCACTATGAAAGCATGCGCTCCCCCTGTTTGGATTAAGGCAGTGGGTCTCAGTTTTTTCTTCTTCTTCTGGTACCTATTTCTAAACTTATTCTTGACGTCCAGGAGCCACTTACGGTATTAAATCCACGCTGCCTTCCCTCTCCCCCAGCATAAAATGCACGAGTATTTTTAGCATTCATGACTGGACAGTGTTACTGAGAAACAGCCTATATTTCATGTCTATTATGCATACACTGCGACAGCAAACCCAAGTTTGCCACTAAGCCTTTCCCAACTCACTCACTTCCTCCTCCTCTTCCATGACCTCATGACCAATGCTCCCTCTAAGCTGTGGAGTCTTGTGAACAAAAATTCTACTTTGTGAGCTCCTGGCACTAAAGTTGTGAGCGATCCATTTGGTTGCTGCATAAATTAGTTTGCTCTGGAGCCATCCTTTCTGAGCTAAGACAAAAATATCTGAGCTGGAGGCTAAAAAACTGTGAACTAGCTCACACCAACTCAGCTTAGAGGGAACACTGTTCATGACCCTCCTGAGGGGCTGCTGGGAGCCAGTTTGGGGAATGACTGGAGATGGGCTCAACCTGAAGAACAATGTAAGACCTTTCATAGGCCCCCAAAACCAGGCAGGATTTTATGCTGTTCACCACAAAGACGACCTGCACAAATTTGCTTAGCCTTTTACCTTCTGTCCGGATTTCTTCAAGTACGTGGTGGTGTACTTGGACCAAATTGGCAGGGGAGGCACAAATGTTGCCCCCCCCCCAAGCCCGATCTGGTATGACTCTCAACTTCCCCACGGCTAATTGAAAAAAACCAGACGTGCAACTCCTCAACCAACCTGTAGGGGGCGACAGGGCCGCCCTTCACGTTTGCATGCTGCCCTTCCTTTGTCCATGTGGGTCCTTGCTCTTTCAAGGCCGTGGCTGTGGTCAGTGCTAACTACTGCCAAACAGGCCAGCTACGCTGAACAGATGGAGCTGCCTCGTTACAGAGACCAAACGAGTGCCTGCGAGGGCGCAGTTGGCAGGATGGGGTAAATACACTAAAGCGCCGTCCAGAGACTGACGTGGTTAGTGATGGAGTGGATTGAGAATTCAGCATGCTCGAGATGGGGCCGTACTCTCAGAGAGAAGTGCATGCATTCTTCTAGAGCGCTGCTGGATCTGGCTTCACCGATGGACAGTCCATGTGTCATCTTTGGCACGGAACGCCTTGAAGCAATGTTGGCTGACTTGCCCAGATGCAACCCTTCTGCGGCAAACCCAGTTGGTAACCATGCTCTGGTTACATTCTTAAACCCACCTAGGACATCTGAGGGACCATCTGCTCTCACATAACAGCCTGTCCAACCGTTAATGCCTTACGAAGGAGCCTAATTCTGTACCCGCCTCTCCCAACGGGGCATCTTTCTCACATCTTCAGACTTGTTCGGATGGGTGGGAGTAATAAGAGTATTCCCCCCCAACTGGAAGCTTTAAGCACTGAGTTACCCTGTTTCCCCGAAAATAAGCCCTACCCCAAAAATAAGCCCTAGTAGGATTTCTA